CAACTATATCATAAGGCTCAGGGATTTGTCCAGGGTCACACAGCTGGTAACACTATTTGTTGTCAAATCTTTTGGCTCCAAAATCAGTATTCTTTCTACCATATCATCTTGTTTCTAGAGGCATGATAGAGGAGCAAGAAAAGATGGTTGCAGTGCATCCCTACATTCTAAGTCTAGGTGTATAGCAAAGCTCAATTTTAGAGGCAGCTAGGTGGCCCAGTGCATAGAGTCTTGAATGTGGATTCAGAAGATCCTGAGTTTCAATCTTGCCTCAAACACTTACTAGTAGTGGGACTGAGCAAGTCTTTTAACCTCTCCCAGCTTCAGTTTCCCCGTCTGTAAAATGAGGATAAAAACACCATCTATGTCACAAAGTTGTTTGAGGATCAAATGAGTTAACGTATGTAAAGAGCTTTGCCAACCTTAAAGTGATATATAAATGCTAGCTGTTATTTATTAAAACACTCAGCAAACCAGTTGAACTGATAAACCTGGATAAGTCAAAAAACGAATATTAATAAATACCTATTACACTATGTGATGAAGCTTGAGCTATGAGCTTAGGGTGTGGAAGAGATGGAAGGGTTTTAGGAAAAATTAGCTTGGCAATTTTATATAAAATGTATTAGAGTGTGTATAGAATAGAGGTAGGAAGATTGATTAGATGACTGAAGTAATTCTAATAAAGTAATTAAAAAGAAGACTGAAGCAATTCAAGTCTGAGGTGAAGAGAAACAGATTATTGGTAGTGAAAACTGAGAGAAGGCAAATCTGAGAAACATTTTGAAGGAAAAAACCCGGTATTATTTAATCAATTAGACACCGAGAATGAAGGAGTGTTATTACTCATAAAGAGATGAAAAGAATAAGATTGAGGGGAGAGGTAGGGAAACGGAAGGAAAAATTCTGTTTTAGACTTATTGAATTTAGGAGCACTAAACTCAGATATTTCAAGGGAAATGTAAATATGAAATTGGAACATACGTTTAGGGCTAGAGATATAGGGCCAGAGTACTTTGGGAGTGAGCTATATAAAAGACAGTTGTTAAAATCATAAGACTTTGTGGAGTGTGTATACAAAGAAGAATGAGGAGTCAAAAATAGCCTTGAGGAATACTCACAGTGTGAGGGCAAGTAAAATAATAAAAGTGAGCAAATGAGTCAAAAGAATGGGTAGAAGAATTGGGGGTTGGGGAGGGGAGAAACTAAGCATGATAGATTTCATGGGAGAAAATATTATTAGACTAATGCCAAATAGACTAATGCCAATCATGTCAGATTGGAGAAGTCAGAGCCACAGAGCAGGGCAGAGACTGGGGTCAAAAAAAAGGAAAGAAAAAAGAATTGAATATTTATGAAATAAAACTCGTGATTTACTCTAAGTGAATTATTATCGTTTGTGAGAAAAAAATAACATAGATTAGGTAAATTGGGAACGGAGTGACAAGTAACAGAGGAAACCAATAGATGCATAACCACCAAGTCCATTGGCAAATACTGAAGGCATAATCATTCCCTTGATCTCTCAAGAAGAGGAGAGAAAAGAAGGAAAAAAGCAATTGAAGGAATGGGACAAGGAGCAGAAAAGGGAAGGACTCATCCAAGAAAGTGAAGAGAAAAGGTCCCAGTAAAGAAAATCTTCATACAAGATGAAATATTTGCTTTTAACAAAAGTCAGGAACTTTTGAATGTGTTTTATATGGAGGGGGTGAGATCTACACATTGGGTGCTACTTTCTTTGAGTAAATGCTGCAAATCTTTGGAAAATATACCATCCTGGAAAGGGGATGTGGAAGTCTAGCTAGCTCTTGGGTGGTAGAGGTTTCAGACAGTAAGAGATGGATAACATGGATTTCAAAATGAAGATTGATTGTGATAAGAGCTAGAATTAAGACAGAGCTCATGATTTAGGACATAGAGTGATGCCCGCCATATGATAACAGATTCCATTTCACAAACTAATATTTCTAAGAGTGAGGCACAGCAGAAAATAGGGAGGATGGGGTGAGACCTACAAAGGCGATGACATAGAAATTGTATAACAAATTTCAGTGGTTGTCAGATAACGCTTGCTAACTGTTAGGGTTACCCAGAAGTACAACCCTAAGAGATAATGGGTTCTCTCTCACTGAAGGTCTTTAAGCAAATTTGTTAGGTGTGTTTTAAAGAGGTGAGCCTTTTTTTTTAAGATATGAGTTGGAATACATGGCTCTGAGGTTCTTATCCAACTCTGAAATTCTGTTATTCTGTGATTCTATTACTCATATTCCATTTATTGCTCATTAAATCCCCCAAATTGCCCTCTTCATCTTATGAAGTTTATTTATCACTACTAAATTTCATCTTATTAGATTTGATAGTAATGCTGTAGCCTATCAAAGTCTTCTAGAATCCTGAATCTATGATTTAGTATGTTATCCACCCCTTCCAATTTTATGCCACATGTAAATTTGAAAAGCATGCTCACTTCCATGTTAATTTCCACATTTCTAATTGACTCAACTAATTTGAGAAGCCTGAGATGGCTCAGGGTGAATGTAAATAGTAACTATTACTCTTTTGGCCAGAAACTCTATGGCTCTTCCCCTTCCAGCTTGATTTTTTTTTTGATTAAATGGGCCATGCCTAGGCTCACTTCTTAAACAGAGCTTAATCACTGAATGGGTGTTGCCTCAGTCAAAGTGAGATCTTGAAAAGGCCAAGATCTCTCATTGCATCCTGGGCCATCTCCAGTCGTCCTGATCTATATCTGCCCACCGGACCCAGATGGCTCCAGAGGAGAAGGTGAGGCTGGTGACTTTGCACAACCCTCCCTCACTGAAATCTAGTTTACTTGCAAGTCATGGTATCATCTTCCTCATGTCATGGTCCTCTTTGAGAACAAAAGACAAACCACATAAAAATTACATATTTTTTCAATAAGTAAAATTTTACCTTCTCTTTCTGTCATCCAGTCCCCCAATTAAGAATGAAAGAAAAACAAAAGTCCTGTTCCAAATATAAATGCACATATATACGTCTATACATGCATATGTACATATATATGCTTGCATGCATATACATATACATATATACACACACTTGTTTTTGAAGCAGAGGTTTTGTTTTTCTTTCATTCTCAATTGGGAAATTGTGTGGGAGAATGAAAAGACAAATTTTTGCTGAATGAAAAAAATGTATAGACACATATGTATGTGTGTGTGCATCCATACACAGTCTGTACTGTACTTCATCTCTTTATCAAGAGCCAGGTAGTCTGTTCGTCATCAGTCCTCTGAAATTGTGGTTGATCATCATGCTGATCAGAGTTCCTAACTCTTTTAAAGTCAGTTGTCTTTATCACATTGTTGTCATCATGTAAATTACTTTATTGATTCTGTTCACTGCAACAGTTTATACAAACCTTCCTAAGTTTCTCTGAAATCATCCCCTTCATCTTTTCTTACAAGATTATCATATTCTTTCCATTTATATACCATAAATTGTTTAACCATTCACCAACTGATGGGTAACCCCCTTGGATTTCCATTCTTTGCCGTCTCAAAAAGAGCTATATATAAATAATTTTATTCTCCCTTCATTAGAATTTGTTTTGCTTAAAACTTGCCACTCTCTTAACCTACACTCCCTCTAATTTCCTGTTTTCCTTTCTCCTCTTTCTTTTTGGTGGTCAGTCTTTGCTTTCCTAGGATCTTAGGACTACTTTTTGACTCAGTTGTAGCTGTTTCAGAGGGCTCTTTAGTCACAAGTAGCAACATGACGTTTTAGATCTTCTGTGTAGGACCATTGAATCTATGGTTCTTTTGTTCATGAGGACATCTGACTAAAGAAAACCAAGCTGTTTCTTGACATTAGATGTAGCATGCCTGCTTTTAAGGATTTTTTTCCCTCAAAATGCTGTTTATGTAAGTTTTGCTTGTTTTTGCCTTGTACTTTGGTTTTCCTGGTGGTCTCTGCTTGAATGGCAAGATAGGATAATGAATACAAGAACAATCTAAGTTGCCCAAGGAGATGAGGTCAAAGATGGTTAAATCAGTTAAACAATTAAGGCAACAAAAATCCAAGAATCCTGGGGAAACTTTCCTATTTGAACAGCAAAGGTCCAACTTCACATCTTTAAAAAAATCACTTGTTAATATGGCTGAGATTTTAGTGTGAACATGTCTCTTGTGTTATCCAAGTCATTGATCCAAATCAGTGATAAAAATGACAAACAGCATAGGGTGAAGCATAAATCCCTGGAACATCCCACTAAAGATCTTATGTTCTAAGTTGATTTACTTTCTTTCCTTTATACAAAAACACTCTTTCTGACCCTTTTTAGCAACAGAAACTTGCTTCTTTGAAATAAGCTTATTGGCCTAGAGTTTTCAAACTCATTTTAAAAATGGGAAAAACATATGCTGTTCTTCCATTCCCAATCTTTCTAGATTACTGACAGTGATGTCAATGTCTTTACTTTTATCCATTTCCTATTTTTTCCTGTGTTAGCTTGTTTAAATAGGTCAGATTGGAGAGCTGTTACATAATTGTATGCAATACTTTTTTTCTTATCTTTTTTCTTCATTCTTATGTGATGATGATTTTAACTTTTGCTCTGGTCAATCAATAATATAACTGAAGACAGTACATTCACAAAACCCCCCTATGTCAGTAACCAGTTGTTAGGCTTTATTAATTGAGTCCAAAAGAAGAGAGATTATAATTCTTCTGTAACTTACCTGGTCAAATCACATCTGGAATAATGGGTTCAGTTCTGGGCATAACACTAATATATAACATTGACTACCCTGGTCTCCACCGTTTGAAGGTTAGGTGGGTTGCATTTTACTCCTGCCCCTGGGGTTGTCTGGTACTCTAAATAAAGAGGGTTTGAAGGTATATAGTCTTTCTGCTATTAACTCGAGGATCCACTGGATGTGTTCTCCAATTCCAGAGGGTACTTAAGCTCCCCAGTTTTAATTAACCATTTAACAGTCAGATTAACTTTTAAAAGAAACATTTACTTCAAAGGTATAGCAAAGACAGACGTGTAAACACCACACAGGGAGAGGGTAGGTTTGCAACATAATTCTCCTTTATATTACCTTAGTGTCTGGGGAGGGAAGTGGATGAGGTTCACAGTTTAACTAGTCCCACTAAATTCCAAGCCAAAATTCCCTTGTCTTCTCAGGGCTTCCCTTGCGCTGGCAGCAACATGTGATCTGCAACCTAGACTCCAAGTTTACCATGGCTCATGCTCTAAGGTCTGGGGAATTCACTGCCTATGTTTAGAACTGAAAAGGGTAAATGAAACAGATTAAAACCTCAAGACCATTTCTCATGGCTAGAAGCCTAAAGGGGAGGGGACAAGTGGACCTTTCCACACATGCCCAGGTCAGTAAATGGTGCTTGTACGTGGGTAAACAAGACCATCAGTTCCTAGATGCTGCCAGAGGGAAAGAATGAGAGAAAGACTGGTCCAGTCTGGTACTTTTAAAGATGCAACATATTCCACCCATACAGTCTATGGAAAGAGGTTGTTCCTAAACTTGTAGTAGGGGAATGCAGAATGTCTTCGTCCAGAAGCAGACTTTTGACCCTTTGGTGACTCGGTCTTAGGTCGTCTGATTTAGGCATATGTAGTAAAACCTGGTTACAGAAGTAAGAAAATTAAAGTTAGGAGGGCACAAGTTCATGGTTTCTTGTTCAATCATTTTTTGAAAAAAAAATAGTCAATAAAGATTTTGAAATTGTTTTTTATAAGCCAGGCACAATGCTAAGCATAAAGAAATAAAAAAAAAAGGTAAAAACTAGTCTGTATCCTAACAGGGGGAGATGACATGAACATATACGGGTATGTAAGATACTCACAAAGTAGATACAAGGTGACCTTAAAGGGAAAGGCACTAGCAGCTGGTGGACCACAAAAAGGACTCCTACAGAAGGGGTAGTTTCTGAGTATAGTCTTGTAGTTATTCTAAGTTATTCTAAGTCAGTTATTCTAAAGAGAGGAGAAAGAGAATTCTAGCTATGGGCAGCAGCCAATGCAGAAGCATGGAGTCAGCAGATAGAGCATCATGTAGGAGGAATCACAAGTAGACTAGTTTAGGGCAGCTAAGTGGCTCAGTAGATAGAGCACCGCCCCTGGAATTAGGAGGACTTGAGTTCAAATCTGGCCTCAGACACTTGAGACTTACTAGCTGTGTGACAGCTAGTCACTTAACCCCATTGCCTAGCAAAAACCAAAACAAACAAATAAAAAAACCAAGTAGACCAGTTTGAATAGACCATACAATTTGTTGAGGGAAGTAACATGTAAGAAGATTGGAAAGATTAAAAAGTTCATGCTGTGAAGAGCTGTAAGTGCTATACAGAATTTATGTTTGATCCAGAAGATATTGGCATTAATGAGCAGGCTCTTGACATGGTTATACAGAAATTGCTATAGATGTAAATTAGATGTAGATGTAGATGTGCCACAGAAAAATCAGTCTGGCAGCTCTGTAGAGAATGGATTGGAATAAGAAGAAATTTGAGGCAGATTGAATAATTAGAAGGCTATTGCAGTAGTCCAGATAAGAGTTGATGAGAGCCTGAATTAGGTGGTAATCTCTTGTATATTGAAGTATTTGTGTTTGCTGATGATTGTTAAATTCAAGTTAAGAAGAAATTTTAATTAAAAAAAAAAAAGAAAGAAAAACTGGGACACATCCAGAAGACAGCCAGGATGGTGAAGGGACTAAAAAATGATGTTGTAAAATCATCCGCTAAAAGAATTGTGTATTTTCAGCCTCAAGAAGACTAGTTAGATAATCACTATTTTCAAATATATGAGAAGCTGTCTGTAATGCAAGGTACACAACCCCCCCAGCCCCATTTATGTTACTTATTCTAGTAGGATGGGAACATTAATTAGACTTACAAATTCAATGTAGGCAATCAAACTTTATCAATCAAATGCATGCAAACGTTACGTTATTTACAAACATTAACCCCAATAAGGACAAAACATCAACCTAATTTCCTAGGGTGTTCTGCCCAGCTAGAGGTTGTACTTTTCTCTCCAAAGTGATTGCCGGAGAAGTCAGCAAATTTCTGGTGGTCAATCAGCACTGCTTGAGTTTCAAGGGTGGGAAACACAGAAACCTGCTTCAGTCCTGACCCAAGAGAAAGCTGAAGAGTAGAGGTCGTTGGAGGGTTTCTATAGCTGTGGGCATTACCCACTTTCTGATTGGTGATTGATTATGTAAGCTAATGTCATTAGCAGGTGTTTGTCACTAGTTCACCAGATTTGGGGATGTTCATTATCAGTTATTTACCAAATCTGGAGTACATATACCTCATTAGTAGTTATTTACCAAACTATACCATTCAAATCCCTACAAGTGTTGGCGAGAGAAGAGAAGGGAAGGAAATAAGTATTTATAGAGTGCCTACTATGTGTCAGGCACTGTGCTAAGCACTTTTTACAGATTTATCTCATTTGATCTTTACAACAACCTCACTTTACAGCTGAGGAAACTGAGACAAAAAGAGATTAAGTGACTTGCCCAGGGTCACATAACTAGCAATAAAATAGCTACTACTTATACAGGATTTACTAAGTGTCAGGCACTGTGCTAAGTGCTTTACAGATATTATCTTATTTGATCCTTACAACAACCCTTCAGGTAGGTTCTATTATTCCTATTTTACAGATGAGAAAACTGAGGCAAGTGACTTGAAGTTAAGTACAGAGGTTAAGTGACTTGCCCAGGGACACACCCCTAATGAGTTCCTGAGGCTTGATATGAACTCAGGTCTTCCTGACTCCAGGACCAGTTCTCTACCATTGCATCATCTAGCTACTCAGTCACAAAATGGAGACTTCAAACAAAATGGAGTCAATGATGTCAAGACAACAAATTTATTTTCACCACACTGTCCAATAGGAGAAAGATTAGCTCTAGAGATCTGAAGGAATAGATGCTTTTAGAGGGCTTTAGGCAGTATTCCCTACAAACCTCACTATGGTCTAGTTGTCAACGTAGACTAAAAAAAGAAAGTGCCTTTAGAACAGTAGACCCAGGAAAATTACATGAGAAATAAGAGAGTAGAGTGGGAGAGTCATGTGGGCCCTGCTTTAATGATTGCCTAAGGGCCACCTGGGCTGATGTCGCATTAAGCATTTGCCTGATTAAAGGGTCATTACTCTTCTGACTTGGTAAGAATACTTCATAATGCAAATAGCTGCTTCTACCAGGATTGAGAATGTGCCTCCAGGAAGTCAAGGGAGCCCACTCTGTTGTCACCACAGGTCCTAGATTCTCAGTAAACGGTAATCATCATGATAGTAGTCTGAGTATTCATTCAAGCCAAATCTAGAACCTTAGACCTTTCTAGGTAAATTCATTGCAGCAGAAAGATAGATTTTTGCCTCAAAATAGAGAAACATTTGCTATTAATTTATAGCTTTTCCAAAAAGAGAGTGGGCTATCTTAGAAGTTAATGAATTTCTTGAGATCTTCCAGTAGCTTTCCTATATGACATGTTCATTTGATGAACATGTAAGGGACGGTGTAGAGTTTGAATTTCTATTCAGTTATTAATCCACAATTCTGGTGAATCTAAGAACCTTCTCTGACATTTGAGTCAAAGTCATCCTCTCTCACACAGAACTTTGTTTATACCTCTCTTATAACTGTTAGAAAAATCTGAAACAAAAATCTCCTACAGTGAGTGAGTGAAGGAAAGCCTTCTCAAGAGAGAAGCTGGCACAACGCACTTTAGTAGCATGTGGGCACTGGTTCAGTGGCAGAATCAATTTTTAAACTGTTAGTAAGATCCATACTCCACCCATCAAGGCTCCTATTGGTCTAGTTCATCTGAGTTACACCCTTCCTGGACAGCCCATTGTGTGTTTGTCCGTGCTCTGTTAACTCCGCCCACTTCATGGGGTCCCATGTTTAAAAATGGCGGCTATCTCTGCCCTTGAGGTGTGTCAGTTCATATTCAATAAGCTCTTTAAGCAAGCACAGAGGAGAAAAGCCTTTGCCTGGTGGAAGCCTCGTCCATGAACACGACAGGTTGCAACCAGTTTAGCCTCTAGGGCTCTTTCTTAAGGAACTAGTTGTTTACAGAATGTTTAGTACACTTTCTGATTGGTTGAGAGGCTATCCACAAGATCTTGGAATTTCTTATCCTGCTGTGGAAGACGAACCCCCTGAAATCTTTCTTGCAATAATGATGATAATAATAACAATAGCTGGCATTTACAAAGCACCTTAATATTTGTGAGGTGTTTTACATCTGTTATTTCATAGGACCCTCACAAGAACCCTATGAAGAAGGTGCTATTGTTATCCTCATTTTACAGATGAAGAAGAGGGAAATGAGGAAGAGAGCAGACTATTTTTAAAAATATATATATATATATATATTTATATCCAAGCACATAGCATAATTCTTGGCACGTAATAAGTCCTTGATAAATGCTTCTTGTCTTGAGGTTGAATAAAGTAAGTGGCTTGCCCAGGGTAACATAAATAGAAAGTGCCTAAGACAGGATTTGAAATTAACTTAAGTCCAGTAGTCTATACATTGTGTTACCTTTGGGTACTATGGTTATTTTTATATGGTGTTAACAGGATTCTATTGTACTGGTCACTAGGCTGTGAATAGCTGGAGCTGCACATAGCAATCCAGAGACTGTAGTGCCAGGAAACAAGTAGAAATTTAATTAATTACTTTCAGAGTGAGGAATGCTGGAGCAAATAGCACAGTTTATATTCGTAAATCACAAGTGGGGAAGGAGGGGGAAAGCGTATTACAAAACAATCATTTCCAGGTCCTAAGTGGTTTCCTATGACAAGCCCATGAGTGCAGGACACGTCGTGCAGGTGTTCTGAGTCCTATGGGAACAGTATTGTTCCAACTCATGGGGGTCATTACTTGGTGGGGCACAGGACCAGAGTTCTGTGATGGGAACAGGTTCTACAATCTTCGATTTGCTTCACTTAAGGTATACAGGCACAGGAATACAGGGATTGTGAGAATGTTGTCAAGGGTTTGATTGATCATTTCAAGCTGCCTTGTAAGTTTCTGACTCCCAAGCTAGAAGAGGCAGTTCTGAGAAATCTAAATCATTAGTATATTCATCACACATAGCATATCGATTAATATGAAAATCACACTTCCTGCACAGTGGTAAGGTTTTTAATATGATATGGTTTGTATCATCAGCTTGATGAGGCTATAGAGTGGTGAACCTTTGCAAAGGACTTTGAACATACCTTCCTATGGAGGATTTGGACATATCTTTTGCCACACCCTAGAAGATGGGTCAAGTTGATAGTGGCTACACCCAAAAGGAATTGATTGACTTGCACTGTTGAGAGGTTGCATTCTTGTAAAAGGAATCACTCCATTATGCTCAGCTAAAATATGGGAATCATAATGAAAGAACTCAACCTTTATCTGTTTCCACCTCTCTTTCAAATAGGTCTGAAAGCACAGCGGAAATGTGCATGGGGAGGGTGAAAGTTTCTGGAGTTGCAGTGGCAAAGAGAAACATGATCTTACCAATGTTGCAGATAAGAAGAGGATCTTTTAGGCAGTGACACCTTTGGGATAGCTTTGTGAGTAGTCTCAAGTTCAAGAGTTCATGGATCCAGTCTTCTGTCCAAAGAATGGAAGGCTTTCTGGGCATCATGTTTCTTGAAAAGAGGAGAATGGTAAATGTGGCTCTTAGTGCCGGGAGGAATAGTTACAATGGACTAAAGTCATGAAATAAAGGCAATAACAGATCTGGATTTTGTCCTTTGCTATTAGAATTATTTGGCTGGTGTATACCTAATAAGAAGGTGGAGGGGGGGTGGGGCAGGGTGCTGGTTGTCTGCTAATCCTAACATATTTCCTTTCTGGGGGAGTTCAAGCCCTCAGAGTAGCACTATAAAGTTTAATCTATGAGTCTCTTCAGAGCGAAGGAATGACTCGCCAGAATGTGGGAGCATTGTCTGCTTGAACACCCTGGCATATTTCCCCTTCCGGGGAAGCCCAAACCACAAGATGGCACTAGAAGTGTGGGAGAAGGGACCGCATTTGTCCTAGCGTAAAGTAAGATTTGCCAGAATGGAGGAACACTGTCTGTTAGTTAGAAAGTGTGTTTCCCTTATAACTTGATTCCCTGGGGTGCCGGGAGACTGGAGGATTTTAGATCCCTGGAAAGTAGGATTCACCAGAGAAGGAGAAGAATGGTATTGATCATGGGATATTGGGAATCCTCTGTGTGTGTGTGTGGGTGGGGGGGGGTTAGGCCCTAAAATCAGGCCCAGTTCTCACAAGTCCAGAGTCAAGGAGTTCTGAACCATGGGTTATATCTATGTATCATATCTCCTGGCAGTAGATAGAGTGTTGGGTCTGGAGTCAGGAAGACTCATCTCCCTGAGTTCAAATCTAGCCTCAGACACTTCCTACCTGTGTGATTCTGGGCAAGTCATTTAACCCCATTTGCCTCAATTTCCTCATCTGTAAAATGGGCTGGATGGCAAACCGCTCCAGTATGTCTTTGCCAAGAAAACCTCAAATGGGGCCACAAAGAGTTGGATGGGCCCAAAACGAATGAAAAACAATAAAGACTAGACTGTATGCCCTGGAATAGCAGGGACTGGGTATCTTTTAAATTTTGACTCTTCCCTAGTGCCAGACGCAATGCTCTACATAGAGCAGGCATTGAAAAAATGTTAGTTAAACTGCATTGAAATCAGTACTTGCTATCTTCAACATAGTTCAGTTATGTAAATATTTGGCCTTTCCATTCAATGACTTACTTTAAAGGGTGGTGATACAGATTTCATTAAGCTAGCCTGACATAGCAATCTCTTAGAGAGATTTCCATTTATAATATCAATTTATTATGCTCTGATACCTGTCTACCAAGTAGCACTGGTTCTATAGTCTCCCTCAAGTCCAATGGATGAATGGATAGAGGAAAGCAATTGCCTGAAGGAAATTAAAATTTAGCTCATACATCAATTCTGCTTAGCTGTCCAGACACATAATTTACATTGCTGCAAGGCCTCTAGAGATTGATTTCCCATTACCAATCAGTTGCAGAAAGGACTTAAACTGTATTAGAAACATAGTTTGGGGAGCCTGTAAACACAAACTATAAACCAAATCAACAGCATGGTCAATACATAATAATTAACTCATGCAAGAAACTAAATCTGTTTGTAAGTTATATGTAAAAGTTGTTATAAATCTCATCACAAACTTCTCCCAGAGACCCATTAGCACTGTAGAAAAGGCCAGTAGTTTTAATCAATTTGTCTACTGTGTCTCTAGAATTCATTCCTGTAGAACACCACTACCATATTAGTTATATGCATAAAGGAAAAAATACACATGGACAATAAAACTCAGTTTTCTCTAGTCTTGCTTTTTTTTCCCCAGACACCAATCCATCCCTCACAAAGGTGCCAAAATGCTTCCTTATGCATATCTGCCTGTCACTTCTCTGCTAAAAAAATAACAGAATAAAGAAATCCCATATACACAAACGCGCAAACCAAGACAGGGGTTTCCTTGTGCCTGTAGGATAAAACACAAACTCCTAAGCTTGGCATTTAAGGTACTCTACAATGAAGCTCCAACTTACCTTCCCAGCCTTATTCGACATCACTCCCTTCCATACACTATCTGTTTTTTCTAACATGAACTATTAGCTGCTCCCACATTCCACATTCATTGATGCTGGCCATACCCCACACTGGAATGTTCTCCTACTTCATTGCTTCCTGCTGAAATCTTTTTTCTTACTTCAAAAGCCCAGTCAGATGTTACCTGTGCCATGAAACCTTTCTTCGTGTCCTCCTTCCCACAAACTGAATGTGTTTTTCCCAATACTTTTGTCTATATATCGCATTTTCTCCTATCCCATTTTGCCTTTATAATTGACTTATTTCTGTGTCTATTGTATCTCCTGTTAGAGTTCTTGTGGACAGAAAGCATATTTTTCCATCTTAGTATCTCTGGTGCCTGGAACAGTGTCTTGCACATAGTGGGGCCTTAGTTAATTAATATTTGTGGAATTCAAAAACAATTGAATTTTCTAAGCCTTTTCACTACAAATGTACCAATGGCTTTTTCTGGTGTTGAAAGATTTGTCTAATAATTAATAGAGGTTAGGGTTTCTTACACTAAAACTTCCAGAAAAAACCCAATGAAATCAATGTTTAACAGAACTCTGATGCAGGAATGACTAGGGAGGAGTTACTAGGGGAATAACCATAGAAACCAGCTTATCATGCAGTAGTCCAAAGGGGTTATGTGTAATGAAATAGAACTAGAAAAATGTTTTGAACTAAAAGACTGCTTTACAAAGGAACAAGAAGGAAGGTACCTTAATAACAGGTCAAGTTGAAAGTTTAAGACTCTCATTTCCACCCACACGCATTTTTTAATGTCTTTAAAGTAAAATGGGGTCAAAACATTCTAAGGCTCACCCTAGGATGACCAGAGTGGCCCCTATGCAAGATAAAGACCAGATGTCTTCCCCAGCTAGCCCTGTGGACTTGGCATTCAATGACGATCCAGAGGATCAAAGTTCATATTCATTTGCAAGACTACAAGAGAAGAAAAGAACATTGGACAGGCAGCTGCCACCACTTCGGGAGACTTTGTATGGAAGATATTCTTCAGGTAAAAATAAAAATGGCGTGGAAATTATACTTCCAGGTGAAGGAAGGCAATTGATAGATTATGTGGTTGTTTTTACATAGAACTGGAATATTCTGAATACAACAACAGCAACAAAAGATAATAATGTATTGGAAGATAAAAGCTTAGCAATTAAGAATATGTCCAATGGAGCCGAGGAGTTTTTTTGAAAGATGTACGAGTAAGATTTTTGCAGTTCCGGTTGGAGGGTGAGGGGAAGTCATTTTGATACATCTCAGTTTACTGTTTCACACTTTTAACACAGCGTTCATATTATACCATTAGTATTACATATGTGTATAAAAATCAGTCACATCATCATGATCAATAATAACCATCAATTACATATGGTCTAAGTTAAAATAATTTTTATAATCTATCACCAACTCAACAGAGTTGAAATGCTTTGAATAATTACAAACTATTAATGATTCCAGAGGAAAACTGAATGAGCAGATAGGACATTCCTTTCTTTACTTCATATTCTCTTTTTCTCCACATACATCTTCAAGAAGATAAATTCCCCTACTCTGATGGTAGGAATCGACCCTGAAGTGACTATAAATTGTCTCTGGATAGTCCAAGTAAGTTTTTTTCCTCCGTGTTTTATGACAGAGCACTTAAATATGAGGCACATTTTGAGAAAAGGTTTTTATTGGTTATTTCCAAACTATCTTAAAAGCAAGTATTTCCATTAATAGCCTTCCAGTTTTTGTTTCTCATTCCAGGTTTATAAAAGAAGTAAATGTCTCTAGTTACTTGGAAAGCATTATTCCATGTAACTAACAACTGTTTCAGAAACACATATGCATAATACTACGATGTTCCTACAATTGGCTGGCTTAATTTCTATTCCATATATGTGTGTATTTGATGCATCGTTCAATTTCCTAATGATTGAATGAGATTTTCTCTTTAGATTTTCACAGACAAAGATGCCTTTTATGCCCCAATTTCATCTCTAGAATAGAAGTTTTTGCTTGTGCCAAGAAAATTATTGCAACTGAAAGAGGAAAGATGGACCCACTTTGTAAGGCAAGGCTCTAAACTGCCCTTCTGTGCTTAGATGTGAATGAACAGAAGAAAAAAATTTAAAAAGCAGAAACATCTCTAACTAATATTCAGGAGATCTGAGTTCTAGGCATAGCCACACCACTATCCAGTTCTGTGACCTTAGGCACATTACTAAATCTTTTCATATATATCAGGTCTCTCATCTGTAAAACCGGAGTATTAACATGTCCCTAATACCTCACATAGGTGTTGGAAATACAAAATGAGAAAATGTCTTCAAGCCCAATTCAAAAGCAAGGAATTGGGGCAGCTAGGTGGTGCAGTGGATAGAGCACCAGCCCTGAAGTCAGGAGGACCTGAGTTTAAATCTGGCCTCAGACCAAACACTTGACACTTACTAGCTGTGTGACCCTGGGCAAGTCACTTAACCCCAATTGCCAAAAAAAAGACACAAAAGAACAAAAGCAAAGAATTAATAGTGATGTTTGACATCTAGTCGGCACCTGGACATCTTTTATTTACTGAGTTCCACCTAAAGTATCTGGTGCTATGTGAAATAATGAATAGAGTGCTAGACTTGGAGTCATAAAGACCTGAGTTGAAATCATTCCTCAGAGATTTACAAAATGTGTGGTTCTGGGCAAGTTACTCAGTCTCTCTCAGCTTCTGTTTCCTAATCCATAAATAGGGATAAGAATAGTCCCTATCTCACAGGGCTGCTGTGAGGATTGAAGTAGATAACACTTAATATGTAACAGATGTAAAGTCCTCTGAAAACCTTAATACTTTATATAAATGTTAGATATATGATGATCATCATAATTATTATTTTGTACTGCTTAATGCAATGGTATCAATTTAAATAAGCTAAACTGTTGTATTCATTTTCTCATCATAAAGAAAAGCACTAGTAAATTACTGGTTTGTGACCCTTGGTCAAGTCAGTTACTGAGTTCCCAGACAACTGTAAGCAGAATAATTATAGATTTGCAATTGTAGAGGATTTTCCTACCTGGAGTTCCTTTTACCAATAAAACCACGGGCCCCAAGCCAAAAAGTCTTTTAAAAACACCCACCCTTTGAATTTTCCATTGAAATGCAAAGCAAGACTGATGGGGAATTGTAGGTAAGCCATTTAAAAATCAGAGAGTCTAAATTGTTATAAAAAGCCAAGAAGGGAGTTTTTGTTTAAGTTTTGTCAAGTTATAATTCTCTAGACTACCTTTAAAAATAAGACCAAGAAATGATGCCTTGAGGTTCTGAGTTTGCTCACAGAGCTTATCTGTTCAGGCCACTAATTATAGCTGCATCACAAGGACAACCTAGAAAGATGGGAAATCGACCCCTTTCATTGGTGAGAGTTTACTTAAGTAGAAAAAGCGTCTCCCTTCCTAAGTCTTGAATATCTATGTTACTCATCCACTTATTTAATCTGTGTTACTCATCCATTTATTTAATGGATGTATGACAGGATTGCAATAAGTTATGACTGAGAATTCACACCTCAAAGGATATGCTTTGTTCTCGTCTCTTACTAATTTTGGAAAGCATCATCTTTGTATTTCCAGTGCTTACCACAGTAACTTATACATAGCAAACACTTAATAAATATTTATGGTCTCCAAAGTGAGGGCTGTGACTGGACCTCAAGGAGACCATGGCCTAATGCCAAGGAGGTGTGAAATCAACCAATCAGAGAGTGGGAACTTGGGTCACCTGATAAGCAATTGGCTTGGGCTTGTCCAAACACAACCACACCTACCCATATCTGTCAACATTCTTTCCATTCTACTCTCTTGGCTGTACAAACTCTTACTTCACTCCCCTCTGAGGCAGGCATCAACCTCCGAGAGCACTTAAAAACTTAACCTTGATCCAGGCACCCGCAGCCTAAGCTTCACATCTGGGCTCCCCTCTTTGCGGCATCCTTGCCTCTCTCCCTAGACTACTGCATAGCAGTAGCAGGCATTAGGAGAGTGGTTTCCAAAGGCTTTGTATTCCATGGCAGCAGTTGGTACCCCTCATTTTTCTTTTGGGTGGAAGAGAGTGAGTTGTATAAGATAAGCAGTATGGATATGTTGTGACAGATTGGAGATCTCATTGCATTATCTTTATCGCCTAAATGCAGCCCTCCCCCAAACTTCCCTACTGCTGCTGAGGGCACCAATAGTCTTTCAGTCACTTTAGAATCACAACCTCAACTGTTGGTATCTTTGATTTGCCAATCAGTTGTCAAATCTTTTCTATATCCATATATCTTCAACTGTCCCCTTTTCTCTACTCATAGTCACCACCTTCTTTCATATCCTTATTTTATTCTGCCTGGATTATTGCAATAGCTTCCTAATTGGTCTTCCAATTCAAGAACTCCCCTCCCCAATCCATGTTTCACTGAGTTGACCCAATAATTTTTTTTTTCAATATAGGTGGGACCATGTGACTCCTCTATTCAATAAATTTCAGTTGTTCCCTGATGACTCCAAGATCAACTATTTCATCTTTGTGTCACTCTTTTCAAATCTCTATTTTGTGTTTTATAATGTGTATATAGACGGTATGTTGTACAGATAATGCACATGTGATATCCATCACAATATAATACATATTGTAGCTAAGTTCATATGAGTACAAATAGGGGTTTCTGGGCAGCTGGGTGGCACAGTGGATAAAATGCCAGGGCTGGAATTCGGAAGACTCATTTTGCCTACTGTGCCACCCAGCTGCTCTTTCCATTAGGAAACTCCATTTTACAATGTCGGTGGTCACCAGCTCTGCAACTAGACAATTACCAGGAGTACCAAGGGGTAAGTGACTTGCTCAAAGTTGTTCAGTCTTTTTTTTTTTACTTTACTTTTTAAATTTTAAACTTAAATACACAATAGAGAAAAGAGAAAAAAACATATTGTGAACTTAAATATTGAAACTTAAATACAAAATAAGAAAAGAGGGGGAAAAAGCATGTCATGTGTACAGCAGAATGTAAGAGAGGATTCAAAATACATAGCAATAAATTTCCATTTTGAAAAGCCTATATAGGGGCAGCTAGGTGGCACAGTGGATGGAGCACTGGCCCTGGATTCAGGAGGACCTGAGTTCAAATCCGA